GATCTACCTGCGGCGGCCGCCATCTCTCAACTGGAAACGGCGCCGGCCCAGGCAGCGCAGCGGACGGCTGGGGCGGAGCTAGGAATTGCCACTCACCGACGCGGGACCAACTCGACTGACTGGGCGGGGCGGAGCTTCTTGCAACGCCCAATCGACAGGCGGGAGAACCACATTGCAGGCTGCCTGTCACTTCCAGAGTTACCTATTGAGCCACAGAGTCGATTATGGGCAAATTCTAGGGAACCTGTAATGGGCACCTGAGCCCCTTAGAGTAGAGGAATAAGAGATGACATGTTCGTTTGGGCTAATCGTCACCGGGGACAGAGCTATGATAAGGGTTACTAGGGAAATGGATACTCCTGCAAAGCTTTGTTCTAAGGTGAGTTCTAAGTGACCGTTCTAAGTCGGCAAAACGGACACCAAATGGATAACCATTAACCAGGAATGCTGTAACTCTCAACAACATGCTAAGTTAGCATTTGCAACTGATAGCACTTGGAGATGCTGGAATAACCGACACCCTAACCACTGTGATGTGTAGCAGCACACTGTAGGAAGGATAGAAGGATTGCAGTGTCAAAGTCCCCGCCAGAATAAGTACTGTACATGCCATCGTAGTGAATTTACCGACCTGAACACATGTCCAAAACCCAATCCATATTCACAGCACCTTTACACTGACTCTGCACCCTTCAGAAATGGCTATTTCAAAAAAAAAAGAAAAAAGAAAAAAAGAAATGGCTATTTCATACCACGCTTGACCTTCCGTGCCTTTATTGAACTATAGAAACAGAACAAGTTGATAATGTAACAAAAGTCATGTAAAGATTATTTTAATTAAGTTTCAAATTTTTTGCTAAAGTAGCCATTAGAATGTAGTTTGGAATAGCTCCTACTCGCGTTCTCTGGAAAGTACTTCTTTCCTCGAGAAAAGGTAGAAAGGACACACTGAATGAGGACTCACTGAAAACAGTATAAGAAAGGAGGTTTAAAGTTCCTGAATTTCTTTAGAAGAGGACTTCCTTGCTGTTTATTACTATGAGCCGGTTAATTTTTATACCTCCCTTTAAAATCTGGAGCAGAAGCTGGGATCACACGTCTGTAATCCCAGCACTTGTAAGGCTGAGGCAGGAAGATCACTCTCGAGTTCGAGGCCAGCCTGGGATACATCGTGAGTTCAAAGCCATCCTGTACCACATAGTGAGACCCTGTCTCCAAAATCCAAAAATAAAAATAAACGGGAAAACAGAACAGGAATTTTTTTTTTTTTTCGTCTTGTTGAAACAGGGCCTCACTGTGCAGTTCAGGCTGGCCTCGAGCTTACTTTGTAGCCCAGGCTGGTCTCGAACTCGCAACAATCCTCCTGCTTCAGCCTCCTGAGTGCTGGGATTACAGGTGTGCACCACCACGCCCGGCAGAGCGGGAAATATTTTGAAAGCAAATATAAGTATTCTCAATTTTGGAAAACAGTTTTACTGTAGCCTTCGGTGAAATTAAAACAAACACACAGGAATAAAATTATGTCACTTGTTCTAATAATGTTCTTTATTTATTTATTTATTTATTTTGGCTTTTCTCCGGTACCGGGAACTGAACTCACGACCTCACGGTTGCCAGGCAGGCGCTTTTGCCTCTGAGCTAAATCCCCAGTCCCCTCTAATAATGTTCTTTAAAGTTTGACTGAAATGGTCCTTTCTTGGCCAAGAATAGCTAAATAATAATGTGGAACTTTTGGTGTAATTCTGACACCCAAGCCCGGAACAGTGAGATGATTGGCTTCTCCAGGTGAGACTGTCATGCCACTCACCCAAAAAGCTTATTGCCCAACAAGTGAAACTCAAGAGCTCAAGAATGACCTCCAAAAAAAAAAGAATGACCTCCGCCTTCAACAGCTGCGCAGAACAATCCACCACCCACCCCAAACCCCATTGGAACCTTGTAACATTCCTGGAACAGTTTCACTTACAGTCATTTTCCACCCATCTATATTTATCCCAAATGCTTTTTACCAGTTTATCCAAGCTGTGCCGCTTTCCCCTTCTCTGTCACTCCTTCATGCCTTCTCACTCACATTACCATGGATTTTAGTTTTGTTTTTTGTTTTTTGAACCTTTGCAAATGTAGCTATGAACCAAAAATTTTCCCTCCATCCTTCCCTCCCTGCTGTGAGAAATTTTACTAGAATGGCCCTTCCCCTATTGTCCCAAGTAGGAAAATTAGATGCATATCCTGTGGTACTAAGATTTAGTTCTGTGTATTCGGAAAAGAAGCCATTAAATAGTTTTTAAATGCATAGGCATGAATCTGGAGGGATTGACAAAAGCTTTCTTTCTAGCTATTTACTGAAATGTGTCATCTTTTATCTACCAAGATGAAATCACTGGTGCACTTGAAGTGAGCTGTGTGATTTGAGGACCCACTGACTAAACTGGGTTGTTATAATTCAGGGATAGCGATTACTCTAAACAAGTATGCGTTATCTTCTCACAGAGAAGACTTTTTCCCGTGGGTTGGATGGCCAAGTCTGATGAGAAAGTGTAGATAACTCAACAGAAAGTCAGCCTCATACCTTAAGAAAAGGGAAAAAAATTAACATTTACTGCAAACCTAGGTGCCAGAGGCCATGCTGATTGCTCTACAGATAAAACCTTTATAAAGAAAGGCAAAATAACTACAAATACCTTTAGAAGATTGTTACTTTTATTAAAAAGTCTGTGGAGCTGGGGATATAGCTCAGTGACACAAGCGCCTGCCTGGCAAGCCCAAGGTCCTGAGTTTGATTCCCGGTACAAAAAAAAAAGAGAGAACTGATCTACAAAGTCTGCAGAAACCTCAGTATTGTCCAATAGGACCAGCAATTGGTTAAGTAAGTTAGACAACTAACCTTGAATCAGAATATCATCTAACCACTTAAAAATGAATTATCCTATCCATACCTTTGAAAATGTAAGAATAAATATAATATAGTACAGACATATACTTACATATGTCTAATTTAGACAGTGATTTCTGGATGAATAAACAAGAAAACATGTTATATCTGGGAAGTTTTAAGGGATAGCTTACCCTTTTGAGTGGCTTAAATATCCCACCTGCATTTTATTTATATAACTATAAAAATATGGTCTCTAAAACCTACAAAGGCCAAGCATGGTAGCACACACCTGTAATTCCAGCACTTGGGAGGCTGAGGAGAAGGATCTCCATGAGTTCCAGGCCAGCCTGGACTACATAAGTGAGTAGTGAGTTCAAGGCCAGCCTCCACTATATAGGGAAACCCTGTCTCAAAAAAAAAAAAAAAAAAATCCCCCTTCCAAAAAAAAAAATATCAATAGTAATAATGCCTACAAAGTTGCTGAATTGTTTCTATACCAATCCTTACAAACAAGTTGACCTTTTTTTAAGCTAAAACTAATCAGAACAGATTTCCTGAAGCATAAAACCTGAATAGTTTCCCTACTAAAACGTACACTAAACTCAGCTCTCAAGTGTGACTCAACCCAATGGAGTATTTGCCTAAGCATTCCAGAGGACCCAGGGTGGGTCGGTGATACTCACGGCTTCAGTGACAGGGGCAGAAGGAATGAGAAGTATCTGCTCAGAGGTCTGGGGAATGTGTTTCATGGTTCACCGATAATGTGAATTACTATTTAAGTGAGGTCAGCAGTTCTTAAAAAACAGGAAAAAGTACATGAAGAAGGAGGGCAGAAGAAAAGGGTTTACCATGAAACACAGCCTAGACCTGTTTGCTGGCTTTTTGCTTCCTTCTTTTTCCAGATGTCACTCTTCCCATTTTTCTACACTTATCCATCTGCAATCATCTCTCCATCTACACATTCCAATGCCTTCCTAGTTTCTGTGATTTTTTTTCCTGTCCTTTTTCTATCGGCTTCTCTGGATCATAAATACTTCTAGCCAGTGTAACTAAGAAAAATTGAACTGCTCTTAAGCCCTACTATACATTTTCCCTGGAGATATCTCTTGTCACAGCATTAAACACAAACACACACGCTCATTTGTTTCTTCCACATTTTTATTTCTCTCCTTTCTCCTCCTCTAACATTCCCACCTACTCTAACACAGACCCGCTTGAGATCAGAGATAGATTTACACTCGCCCTCTAAAAATTTTTATGTGCCAGGAGTCTTGTGCTCTGATCGCCAAAGGATAACTGACTCCCTTGTATGGTTTGTAGCTGGCTGTCCCCCAAAGCCTCATGTGGCCACCCGGCTTTTCAATGGTGGCTGAATCTAAAGTGTGTAGTGCTGAGGTTAAGGGTGTGTGATTACTAAATCACTCCGCTGATTGGTTTGGCATAGTTCTGGCTAGGATTAAGGGTGTGGGTGCTGTACCCGCCCTAGGGCGGGGAGTCTGCATAAAATATAAGGGACAGAAAGAGCCTTGTCTGCTCTCTCCCTTGTTGCTTTTGCTACCTTTTGGTTGTCGGGAATTGTTCTCTGCTATGTCCCTCTGCCAAGGCACCCTGCCTTG